AGCCAACATAGGGTCTCCAGGGACAGTCGGTGATGAAATGCAAATTTCCAAGGAGTCGGTGAAGCAATAATCTCCAAGTGGAAAGGTCAGGTTTTCATGACAAAAAATGAGTGGTCCCAGCATCCAAGATGGCAAAATTTTTCCTCTTGTGTTCACACAATCCTCGAGTTGGTCCGCTTGAAGAATTAGACCATTAAACAGCATGAAAATGGCCAAGACTGCGGATCCGAAAAGCGCGTGACCGCCCTTGTTTTTCTGGTTCCGCAGGAAAGAAGGAATAAAATTCAAAATAATTGTTCCTCGGCTTTCTTTTGCATATTTCTTGTAAAAGCATGCCTTCGCGACGTTGTCGAAGTGAGTTGATGACGTCAAAACTAAAACCCCTGTAGTTATTTTCGCGGGCTCTCCAGTGTGTTATTTGAGCAATGGCGGAAGAATTTTTGATGTCTTCGTGGCGCTGTTTTTAAGGAATCAAATCTGAGAAACTTACACTTATTCTTATAGTTTAGGGTCTAAATGTGAAGTTAACACCAGAAAATTGGGAAAATAAAATGCAAAAATTTCGTCACAGTAGCACTTTAATGTTGCAAGAATAAAGGAAATGATCAACAGCTAAAGCAGCTCTTGATTGTACAACAAATTTCCCCAGTCAGCATCTTAGGAAATGCATAGAGAACAGTATGGAGAATATGCACACTGATGTTAGGGTGTAGAGGGTTCACAGTGAGAATTTACCTAACAAACAAAGCGTATGAAGACCTTGTTTTCTGTTGCTTGCAATCTTATCATAAAAACTGTCCGGTTTCCAGTTGTCAGTCCAAAGTACAATGGATACTGTCTCTCCAAAGTTGTATAACTGAAATGAAAAGTTTGCAATGTTAATAATCAATGTTTTTGCATTAACCGAGACAGAATTTCTCCTTACTGTATGGATAAATTTTAGTTTCATATATTTGAACTGCAGTTATAGAAACATATTTGTGCACGATCCTCGCAGTAAAGAGCACTATATAAGCAATAGTGAAAATCAGACCTGAAAAAATCAGGCCTGATTTTCACTATTGCTTAAATAGTGCTCTTTACTGCGAGGATTGTGCAGAAATACGTTTCTATAACTGCAGTTCAGATAGATGTATTTCATATATTCGTTGTGTTTGATTTATCATCTTGCAGGTTTATGTCAAATTAATTTGATGACCTGCTCCCAGTTGTTAGTTCAATTGGTAGAGCACTGCACTAGTATCGCAGAGGTCAGTGGTTTAAATCCCGTACAGGCCTGAATTTTTTTCAGGTCTGATTTCCACTATTGCTTAAATAGTGCTCTTTACTGCAAGGATCAAGGATCGTGCACAAATAAATTTTAGTTTATTTTTCAAAAATATTTATCACCCATTCCCTTGAATGAGTGCACATGATGTATTTTTTTCCTACCATAATATTATAGAGCCATTCCAACCTTTGAAGGCATGGTTGTCCTACCTTGGAGCTAGAAGACACCTTAGTCAATTGTCAAAACAGTCAAATTTTACAGTTTGCAGGCATTAATCTGAATGAAAATATCAATCAAGTAAATCTGATTTCTCTTTAAAAGAGCCTAATCAGGTAGAATTCTGCCAAAATATCACAATTATTTACAGCGATTGAACTGCGAAGATGGAGAATATAATGACAAAGACTACAGTGATGACCCCCACCAATCCTTAAAGTTGTTGCAGGACGATCAAGTTCTAGAATATTCTCGAGTTATTGTTTGACATTTAGGTCTTAGAGAAGGATTTCACAATTCCCCCTAATGGTAGTGTAAACACATGCCTTTCAGCAAAGAGTTGTTATTCAAGTGTTGTTGTGGTTTGCAAATAAAGAAGATTAACTCTTATTGGCGTTTCTCTATTTTGAACACTAAACTACTTTAATTTACTATGCATACAGTACCACATCCTAATTGGTAAATCAAAACTTTGTGATAATATTACCTGAAGTCCACAGCATCCTACTGCATTCATAATAGAAGCATTATGAATCACTTGATATCGAATGTTCATCTGGTGGGCTCGCAGTACCAGGTCTGTGTGGGTAGTAGCCCTTAGAAAAAATTATAAAATGTTTTTCCCTTTTGTTATCAGCACAGCACAAAGAAAAAATCCTGAGTCTCCATGAACAATGAAACCTCAGGCCTTCTGATTCTGTATCTCAGCAAAAAGTCCTAATGAACTGGGTCTTTAACTTGATCCTGGACTTGAGTGAATAAATACACCTCAAGTTTCATTATTACATCTAGATGGAATAAAAAAAAAACTAAACAAAACAATTATTTTAGAAGAAAATTTGCAGGGCATATTTACAGTAAATATCACCTACAAATTAAATAATAATACACCGACTCTTAGAGTTTTCCTTTTTGACCAGCGACCGGAGATTTTCGCCACCTGCGAACGGCTCCATCGCTGGCAACTAAAAGAGTCCTTGCTGTTATATAAATTTAAATATTTTAGATAAATAATAAACACTTTGTATGTTGTCTGACAATGATGTATAAGGAACGGAAATCGATGAAAAGTACATATTTCAACAAAAAACAAAGAAGAATTTTTATGCGTGCACTGGTACGAGACATTCAGTACAAGTTTGTGTGGTCAAGTCACGTATCACTGGCATCCCTTCAAGCTTCAAGATGTGTAAATTATTCTATTTTTGCATTTAAATAAATTACTATTTGAAAGGTCAATTATCTTCTTGACTTATCCGCTTTTAACTGTTTTAGTTAGAACAGATATACTTTAACTAGGAACTACTTATTCAAGCCTGTTCATTTCCTTAATTTAAGCACCCAAAATGCACCAGATTGCGTCTCAGAGCACTCAAACTTTCAAAATTTCCCGGGGGGACATGCCCCAGGACCCCCCTAGTTGTTCATGCCTTCAGCACCCAGGTTGGGCGCTATGCGACCAAATTGTCTCCGCCTGCTTCCCTTTCATCCAACTTCAACTTTCTTTGAAAAGGAAAACCCTGGACTCTGCTCAAAAGGTATACTACATTACTGTAAGCAATTAAACTCAATTAAGCTGGCCGTTTCTTACCCAAAGGGATCTCCAACCACCAAGAAAGCAACATCTTTCTCCTTGGCATGCTCCAGAATGAGATCTAAGGAATGAACAGGTCATATCATTTAATCTTTTAGAAATCATAATCAAATGAATCTAATATCATATAAGACCTTACACCATGGCTTTCTATGTAATAACTAGAATGGGATGAGAAAGACTGTTGGTTCATCACAATTAAACTCTGTCATTTTTAACCCTTTAAGCCCTTAGTGTGACTAGCGTGGCGTGACACATGTGACTGTAGTCATGTGATCAGAAAGTCACATAATCCGTCGTGCCACGCGGCACTGGCCACTGATGTAACTTGAAAAACCCCAACTCATCATTAAAAAGTCTTGTTGCAGTTTTAACCCAGAGCTCTGTGGTTTATCGTTGTCACAACTCAACAACTAGCATCCAATTTTCTCCTTACAAAATCAACCATTAATCACACATTGGCGTTTGTAGAATAAAGGAAATGATCATCAAATCAAATCAATCAATTTTATTCTGTGCATACATAAAAGGAAGCGTCTGAGGTTATCCCTATTGAGGACGCTCCCTACATAAAATATAAAATATACATACTACAATGTAAAATTTAAGAGTCATTAAGAAATAGAGCACTGTGGGATGAGTCATCGCCGCTAGCATTGCACATAGCTCACTGGGCTTTTCTAGTTTGAGCACTCTGGCATGGCTTAGATGATACCACAAATATGGGATCATACGGGGTAACCATATTAGTTCTCCCCCATCCCAGCATCAGCACTGCACTGATGAGGCCCAGAGGGCCGAAACAGTTCTGTCTGCAGTTATAACTGCAGACAGTACTGTTTCAGCCTTCTGGGCCTCATCAGTGCAGTGCTGATGCTAGGATGGGGGAGAACCGAGAC